TAGACAAACTGGCAAGAAACAAGTCAAGCTAAGGCTGGGCATTTATAGGAAGAATAGGACTCTGTGTGCTTTATTTGGGAGCTGAGTGGCGGACCCCCAAAGAGCGCAGAGCAAAAGCACCCAACAACGGGAGTGGAACTTACTAGCATGTGTGGCCTTGCTGGAATAGTGGCTGTGTTGGAGGGCGTGTGTCACTAGGGGGTGGACTTTGGGGTCCCAGAAGCTCAAGCCAGGCATCAGCGTCACTGTCTCTCTCTCTCTTCCTGCTGTCTGCTGACCCAATGGAGAACCTTCTCCAGCACCGCGTCTGCCCCCGCGCGTGGCCGAGTCCCACCATGATGCTGATGGGCTGAACCTCTGAACTATGAAGCCAGCCCCAGTCAAATGCTTCCCTCTGTAAGAGTTGCAGTGGCCCAGGGTGTCTCTTCACAGCAATAGACACCCCAGCTAACACAGTGAGGCCGATTCCAGAGGGGGCGAATGCCCTAGAAGAAGAACATGGGCGTGGATCTACTCAAGGGGGCTGAGAAAGGGCGAGGCTCAGGGTGTGGCTTGAACGGGAGAACGTGGGGGAGAAGAGTTGAGCCCAAGGAAGGTCACGTTCCGAAGACAGTTTTGATCAGTGCACAGCCCTTTCTACCTTTCCTGAGGACTAGGTGGGTGGCAGGGAATGTGGGGTGCCACCGTACCCCTAAGGCCCTTGGGATTGGATCGGTTTTGAGATGAACATGGGGTGGGGGGGGTCCTTGATCTGCTTGTATGGATCCTGGAAGCCCAAATCTGGGTAAAGTGTCATTTGTGAGGTGAGAACAGACCACTTCCTCACCTGAGCTGCCCACCCTGAGGAAGCGAAGCGTCTGTCATAGTAAGGAGCCTTATTTATGTTTCTCTTGTTAAGAGGCCGGTGTGTGAAATCTATCTGCCTGTCCTCCTTTGGAAGATTGCCTCAGAATGGATGGGGATTGAAGGAAGGAGGGGGTCACAAGCCTGTGGGGAGGTTTGAGTATAGGCAGAGTGTCCCCCCCCCCCCGTGACAGTTTATAGGGGGCGGAAAGGCTGGGGTGGAGGACGAGAGGTAGGGCTAACAGAAGTGGCCGAGCCCCCCCCATGCATAAGGACTTGTGGACAGTTGTTAGGAGGGGCTTTGTCCCGTAGAAGGAGCCAGCACCGAGGGCCCATAACAACTCCCACGGCCTCGGGGGCTGTCCTCAGGACTCTGAGTGGGTAGGAGTTAGGCTTGGAGGGGCCAACAGTGGAATACAGGAAGAAGGGCGGGGTGTCGGCTGGCCTCATTAACAACAACTCTGTCAGCAAAAGCATGTCCCAAAGCTCTGTCTTCAGTAGGGACCTGGTGACCTCGACGGCGAATGACTCTGGAAGATCAGAGGTGTCTATTCTAGCAGCTTTAGGGTTACATCCCGTGGGGCGGGGAGAGTTGGCTCAGTGGTTAAGAGCACTGGCTGTTCTTCCAGAGGACCTGAGTTCGGTTCCCAGGTCCCACACGACAGCTCACAACTGCCCGTAACTCCAGTTCCATGGCAAAACACCAAAGCACATGAAATAAAAACAGATAAATTATGAAATACAGGACATGAGAAAGCCCCTCTCCTGCCCATGGTGATGTGGATCGCATATTTAGAATCTGTGTATGCATTGTCTCTTGGTAAGATGAGAGCTCTGGTGAGGGCTATGAGCTCGGCCTTCCGGGAAGCCAGGGCTCATACAGACTCTACAGCCTGGTCAAGCCCGCTGCTTGGCAGGAGCCAGGGGAGCTGAGAGGTGGCTGTCTGTCCGTCTGCGAACCAAGCACGGTCAGGACAACGGAGGGGAAGTTGTGGGTTTTTGTAGGTAAGTCTCAAGGGACTCTAGGCATGAGTGAGTGAGGGTAGCGGTCTTGGGAAGGAATGAGGAGAGTGGGAATCAAGTGAGACATCAGGATTTTTCTAGAAAGGTGAGGTGAAAAGTTGAAGAAGCTTAGAAGGGGACAAAGTGGAGAGGCTCTTGTGTGACAGGAGACCCTTGAGACAGAGTGAAGGGACACACACACAGAGAGACAGAGACAGAGACAGAGGGACCGCAAGCTGAGACACTGTTCCTGAATTGGGGTCCTTCCAGGTGAAGGCAAAGAGGTCCTGGGTATGTGGGTGTCCCCAAGGTCTAGAATGGTGACATGAGAGACACAGAGGAGGGAAAGGTTTTAGACTCTCCTGGCTGCATAACAAGGACAGCCGCGTTACAAATCCCAAGAGCAGCTGGTGGGAGCCATTAGGCTGGTGGGGCTGGGCTTCAACACCCGTCACAGAGGAGGATAGGCTTTACCACCGGAGAAATCAGGAATGATGGGGACCAAGTAGCTCCCGAATCCATTAAAACTGAGAGAGACGAACTCGCTGCCTGAACAGTCACCCTAGACTCCCCTGTGGTAATCTTGACCATTTTGTTGATAGCAGAGGATCCAGAGCGTCATCATCAGAGAGAGTTTCCTGTGGAGTAGGAGCTTGCGGGGACACAGAGGGACAGTCCACCCTCCAATCAGCATCCTGCCTGCCCACAGTCTGGCAGGGTCTCAGCAGCAGGCGAGATAGAGTGTGTTTCTTCCTCAGTGAAATTGCCACGCAGGAAGCAGACTCCAGGTGGAATCCTCGGGTACCCCATCTTCTCTGAAGCCTCGGGGCAGCCGCCAGGAAGGAGCTGGTGTTTCAGCACAGCAGGAGGAAACCCTTTCCATCTTTCCCTGCTCCTCCCTTCCATTAACCGCCACAACCAGCAGGTCTCTCGGAGGCGGCTGAGGGTCATCATCTAGTGTCTTAAGTTTTCTTCGAAGATCAGGAGCATGCTGGGAAGGGAAGTCGAGGACAAGCATGTCCCCTGGAGAATTAGGATCTAGCTTGGTGTGACAAGGACAGCCTTTGAAAGCTGGGTAAGGGACCGGGTAGGGTTCTCAGCTTGTCAAAATTTGCGAGGCATTTTGGAGTCTGAGCAGTTAAGAGTACCCACCCACTCCGTCCTAGGCCACCCTACCAGGGAACTGATTTTCAGCCTTAACCTGGTAATCCCAGCGGGGAATCCCAGTGGCCCAGGGAACCTCCAAGGCCCCCACGGGCATCGTCCATGAGGTGCAGTAACACTGTCTGCATGGGCTTGGCTACCCTCCAGACTCCTCTCTCTTGGGGCTGAGAGCAGAGAAAAGAATAGCCTAGGGGTCACGCCAGGTGAGGCTACAAGCCTGGGTAAGGAAGCTGAATTCTCAGGTGAAGTTAGAGGGGTCATCGGAGCCACCCTCCCCCTCCTCCCCCCCAGGGAATAAAGACCATGTGTTCAGGAATGGGCGTGAGCTGCTGGAGGCAGAGAGGGAGTCAGGATAAGGGGTGGAGCCAGTGGGAGGGTGCCAGGGGGTGAGGTTTGGGAGGTACCCCTCAGAGGAGGCGGAGGTGCTGGTGGGTCAGGCTGAGGAAGTTCTTGGGGAGGGGCTTGGTCCTCTAAATCCAAGTCAAAAGGGGAGAGGGCCCAGGGCTGCGGGTGCAGCTTAGTCTTAGGCAGAGTCGTGGCTTTCTGCCCGGAGAATCTGGTGAGTGCGGCATGAGGCAGAGCAGGAAGGTTAAGAACTGGAGGGAGACAGGCAAGGGGAGTCAAAGCACCCAGTTTTAAGAGGGGGGGACAGAACCCATGGTTAGTTTGAGGGGAGAAGGGAGATTTCCACAAATGCTGGCAGTGCCCAGTTTCCCGGAGCAGAGCGAGTTGGCGGGAGAGACTCAGGGAAGGGGGGTGTAAGCAGGGTCCCAGTAGCTCGGGAGACACAGGGAGGGCAGCCTGTGGTGAGCGGTGAGTGCTGTGGCAGAGGGGGTCTCAATCCAAGGGCTTCCTCACTGGGGCTGAGACCTGTCAGGGAGATGCCCAGGGTCACGTGACACGGCACCCAGGATCATGCAGGTGACATATGGGCACAACCTTCATCGAGGGTCCGGGGAGCCAGAGAGAGGGGGTATACGCTCGGCGAGGATGCTCACTCCCCCGGTAGGCAAGGAGGGACCATGCCAAGAGCAGCAGGAGGAGAACCAACTGGAGAGGCGGGCTCTAAAATTTGGGCGGGACTGTGGGGGGTGGCAATGATCTGCACCTGGCATTCTTGTTTGATTAGGAGGGGCAGGACCCCTGTAGGGCGGGCGGGAACCAGGGTCTCTACGGGCTTTAGTGGCAGACGTGGCAGACGTAGGTGAGGGCCACAGCGAGCCAGGCCTCCAAAGCAGGCTGCTCTGGTGGAAAGGAAGGTTTACCCGAACTGCCAAGGCGCTCTCTCTCTCTCTCTCTCTCTCTCTCTCTCTCTCTCTCTCTCTCTCTCTCTCTCTCTCTCTCTCTCTCTCTCCTGGGACAGAGAGGATGGATAGCAAGTGTGGTAGGGGAGTCCTGCCAGTTTTAAAGACAGGGAGCAGCAAGAGGGAGCCTGCTAGCCGCAACAGTGTGGGGACCAACGCGGGGCTTTGCTGTGTTGCAAGCTTGTCTGAGTTAACAGGAGACGAGATGCCCTTTCCAGAGGTGAGGGACAGCAGGGGACCACGGTGGGCAGATAAGAAAGTAATGGCTTTTCCTGAGAGCAGAGACCACTTGACAAGGCTCCTGAGGAACACTGGCTCCTGTTTGCCCGGTCAGAGTCCAGCCTGGGTTGAGCCCTGACTGTCACTGAGAACATTGTCAGTGGCACCGCCATTTTGGGGGTTGGGACCAGGCAATGGGAAGAGTTTCCCATTAGAAGCTCACACTGTGAAGTCCAGGGGACCCTGGAAGAGCAGGCTTCGTGTGTCCCATAGGGACTGCAGGAATTCCAAAGTCAGATTTGGATCCCTTCATGGCTCTGCTCCTTAGTAATGGCAGCTTGCTAAGCCCCTCAGTGCTGTGGGCAGGAAACGCACAGTGCCGCGTGGTGAGTGATTTCTCTCCTCCCCCGCAGTGGGCCTGGGCCTGTAGTGGTTCGAAATTTTGAAGGTGAAATAGTCTCTGGGCCATAAACTTTGGATTTTAATATATTTTGCTGCCTGGGTTCCATTCCAGTCCAACTAATTCCAGAATCTCTAGGGTGGGACCCAAGCTCCGGGGATTGTTTTCAAAGTTGGTGGAGTTTTCAGAGTAGTTCCTGGGAGCAGCCGGCAGGAGCGGGCAGCAGAGGGTGGAAAGCATCCGCCACCAGAGCCATGGTGGCAGGACCAGGCTGGCCCCACACAGCGCGCCTAGGTCTCTCCCGTGGTCTCTCTTGCTGGGACATCCACAGACGAGATCACAAGCACAGCTACGCCATCTGTCTGCTGGGACCAAAGCGCAGCTCACGCGGAAACGAGCGGCGGCCGCAGCCTCTTTCTCTTGTTCCATTTCAGTAGCGGAGAAGTAGGTTCTCCCCGAGCCCTGTATTCTCTGTCACTGAGCATGTGTTGAGGAAGCCCGGTGTGTGTCAGGGTCAGAGGTTAGCACGAGGGGTTCCAGAGCCAGATGAGACGCCAGGAGCCCCCATGAAGGCCGTCGAACGATGGAGGCTTGCGAGGATGAGGGCTCAGGGAGCAAGCAGAGTCTGCTCCCTGCTCTGGTTCCCGTCTGGCCCTCGTGCATGTCGTTTTCCTCCGGGATCCTCGGGTATTTCGTGTACAGCGTGGAGCTGAGCATGCCCTTTCTCACTACACTGTGCAAACGAACAGGTGAGAGAAATAAGGAATCTGCACATAGTAGGTGCTCAGTCCCTGTCAGGAAGGAGGTCAGAGGCCAGTGTATGTGGTGAGCCAAGCAGGAGCAAAACTTCCTGTTTTCCCTTTATCTCATTTCTCCCCACCCCACCCCAGGCCATCCAGCCCATCATCCCACTCCATCATCCCACTCCATCATCCCACTCCATCATCCCATCCTATCCCATCATCCCACTCCATCACCTCACCCATCATCCCATCCTATCCCATCATCCCATCACCTCATCCTATCCCATCACTCCATCATCCCATCCTATCCATACCTTCATCCCATTCTATCATCCCATCATCCCATCCAGCCCATCTTCTCACTTTATCATCCTACCCCACCCATCCCATCCTATCCCATCATCTCATCATCCCATCATCCCATCATCCCACCCCATCGCCCACCGCCTTCTGGTTTGGTTTGGTTTCCTTCTTCGTGTATTTTCCCCTCTTGGACTCTGAACTACGTGGGAAACGTCTGTGTGCTAACACTCTGAACATTTACTTTGAACAATTCTTTCTTTCCTTTTAAACAACGCTTAGGATGTCATTCTTAATTTTAAAAGCACATGATCACAATGTTTTACTCTTGAAATGGGTGTCATGTGTCTGTGTGTGCGTGTGTGTGTGCACGCATGTGTGTTAGACCTCCCCCAGCTCAGCACCTAAGGCTGTGATGTGCACAGTAGGGTACAGACTTAACTCTGTTTTGTAACAGTGTGTGCATGTGTGTGAGTGTGAACTGTGTGTATGTGTGTAAACTGTGTATGTGTAAGAATATGAACTGTGTGTATGAGTGTGAACTGGGGATATGTGTGAGTGTGAACTGTATGTACATGTGAGAGTGTGAACTGTGTGTGAGTGTGAACTGTGTGTATGTGTGAGAGTGTGAACTGTGTGTATGAGTGTGAACTGAGGATATGTGTGTGAACTGTGTACGTGTGAGAGTGTGAACTGTGTGTGAGTGTGAACTGTGTGTATGTGTGACAATGTGAACTGTGTATATGACTGTGAACTGTGTGTGAGTGTGAACTGTGTGTATGTGTGACAGTGTGAACTGTGTATATGAGTGTGAACTGTGTGTATGTGTGACAGTGTGAACTGTGTATATGACTGTGAACTGTGTGTATGTGTGAGAGTGTGAACTGTGTATGTGAGTGTGAACTGTGTGTATGTGTGACAGTGTGAACTGTGTATATGACTGTGAACTGTGTGTATGTGTGACAGTGTGAACTGTGTATATGAGTGTGAACTGTGTATATGTGTGAGAGTGTGAACTGGGGTATGTGTGGGAGTGTGAACTGGGGGTATGAGTGTGAACTGTGTGTGTGTAAGAATATGAACTGTGTATCAGAATGTGAACTGTGTATGAGAGTGTGAACTGTGTGTATGAGTGTGAACTGGGGATATGTGGATATGTGTGAGAGTGTGAACTGTATGTATGTGTGAGAGTGTCAACTGTGTGAGTGTGAACTGTGTGTATGTGTGTGAAGTGGGGATATGTGAGTGTGAACTGTATGTACATGTGAGAGGGTGAACTGTGTGTGAGTGTGAACTGTGTGTATGTGTGACAGTGTGAACTGTGTGTGAGTGTGAACTGTGTATATGTGTGACAGTGTGAACTGTGTGTGAGTGTGAACTGTGTATATGAGTGTGAACTGTGTGTATGTGCGACAGTGTGAACTGTGTATATGAGTGTGAACTGTGTGTATGTGTGACAGTGTGAACTGTGTATATGACTGTGAACTGTGTGTTGTGTGACAGTGTGAACTGTGTGTGAGTGTGAACTGTGTATATGTGTGACAGTGTGAACTGTGTATATGAGTGTGAACTGTGTGCGAGTGTGAACTATGTGTATGTGTGACAGTGTGAACTGTGTATATGAGTGTGAACTGTGTATATGTGTGAGAGTGTGAACTGGGGGTATGTATGGGAGTCTGAACTGGGGGTATGAGTGTGAACTGTGTGTGTGTGTAAGAATATGAACTGTGTATCAGAATGTGAACTGTGTATGAGAGTGTGAACTGTGTGTGTGTGTAAGAATATGAACTGTGTATCAGAGTGTGAACTGTGTATGAGAGTGTGAACTGTGTGTGTATGAGTGTGAACTGGGGTATACCTCATTTGGTGCTATTACGTGGTGAGACACCTGACAAGTGTGGTGTCTGGGCCACTGTCATCCAGCAAGGAGGGGCAGAAGCTGGACAGCGAGGAGGCGAGAGGCACAGGGCCTCGGAGATCTGACTGAACTCTTACCCTTTCTCTAGGCTTCTGTCAAGTGCGCCCGGCATTGGCTTCCTAACTGTTGCTGAAGGCTGGGACTCCTGCAGGGGCAGGTAGGGACTGTGACTTGCAGTGTTACCCAGAAGGCCTCACTGAGCGCCCCTCAGCCTCGCCACGCCACCTCGGTCCTTTAGACATCACACCCAGCAGGAATGCCTCTGTGAGCACGCTCATGTCCAGGTCCAGTTGCCTGCAGAGGAGGTGGCGTCTGCATGAGGTCACCAGGACCCACCGGGCTGTCTCACCTGCAGCTGCTAGTTGTAGCCACCATGTGGACCAGTGTGAGCGGGAGCCTTCCCAGGGGTTCAGATTCCAGTGACTGTTCCCTCTAACTGAAGCATGCCAACCAGGATGTGGCTTTTGTGCCTAAAAGACAAAACAACAGTGAAGCTCGGGGCTGCATGATTTGGGCAAGTTCCCTGTGCAGTCACCAGCCAGCAACATAGACTTTCTATTTGGAGTTGATGCATGTTCCCTGCTATGCTGCACAAGACATGTTTGGGGCAGGCAGCTACCCCGTGCTGACAGAAGCTCAGTCCCTTCACAGTTCAACCCCTAATCCTTCTGAAAAAAAGACGCTCCTCTGTTTACTCCTCTGTTACTATGTGTGAGTGTGAACTGTGTGAGTGTGAACTGTGTGTATGTGTGAGTGTGACCTGTGTGAGTGTGAACTGTGTGTATGAGTGTGAACTGTGTATACGTGTGAGAATGTGAACTGTGTGTATGAGTGTGAACTGGGGGCGTGTGAGTGTGAATTGTGTATATGTCTGTGAGTGTGAACTCTGTACGTGTAAGAATGTGAACTGTGTGTATGAGTGTGAACTGGGGGTATGTGTGAGTGTGAATTGTGTATATGTGTGTGAGAGTGTGAACTCTACGTGTAAGAATGTGAACTGTGTGTATGAGTGTGAACTGGGTGTGTGTGAGTGTGAATTGTGTATATGTGTGTGAGAGTGTGAACTGTGTACGTGTAAGAATGTGAACTGTGTGTATGAGTGTGAACTGGGGGTGTGTGAGTGTGAACTGTGTACGTGTAAGAATGTGAACTGTGTGTATGAGTGTGAACTGGGGGTGTGTGAATGTGAACTGTGTATGAGTGTGAACTGGGGGTATGTGTGTGAGTGTGAACTGTGTATGAGTGTGAACTGGGGATATCTGTGAGAGTGTGAACTGTGTATGTGTGAGAATATAAACTGTGTGTAAGAGTGTGAACTGTGTATGAGTGTGAACTGGGTGTGTGTGTGAGTGTGAACTGTGTACGTGTAAGGATGTGAACTGTGTGTATGAGTGTGAACTTTGTGTGTAAGAATATGAACTGTGTGAGTGTGAACTGTGTGTGAGTGTGAACTGGTGTGTGTGTGAGTGTGAACTGTGTATGAGTGTGAACTGAGGGTTATAAGCCCAAATACAGCCGTCCTGAGAAATGGCGCCGCTGTCAGGCCTGGGGTTAGGCGATCAAGGGCTCCTGGACGGGTGCAGCCCCTGTGACACAGCGGATCTGTTTGTTTCCGGGAGACAGGCACCGAGGAGGAGCGGTCCATCCACACTCTCGGCTCCCGGTCCATCCACACTGTCGGCTCCCGGTCCATCCACACTCTCGGTCCATCCACACTGTCGGTCCATCCACACTCTCGGTCCATCCACACTGTCGGCTCCCGGTCCATCCACACTGTCGGCTCCCGGTCCATCCACACTGTCGGCTCCCGGTCCATCCACACTGTCGGCTCCCGGTCCATCCACACTGTCGGTCCATCCACACTCTCGGTCCATCCACACTCTCGGTCCATCCACACTGTCGGCTCCCGGTCCATCCACACTCTCGGCTCCCGGTCCATCCACACTGTCGGCTCCCGGTCCATCCACACTCTCGGCTCCCGGTCCATCCACACTCTCCGTCCATCCACACTCTCGGCTCCCGGTCCATCCACACTCTCCGTCCATCCACACTCTCCGTCCATCCACACTCTCCCGGTCCATCCACACTCTCGGCTCCCGGTCCATCCACACTCTGGGCTCCCGGTCCATCCACACTCTCGGCTCCTGGTCCATCCACACTCTCGGTCCATCCACACTGTCGGTCCATCCACACTGTCGGTCCATCCACACTCTCGGCTCCCGGTCCATCCACACTCTCGGTCCATCCACACTGTCGGCTCCCGGTCCATCCACACTCCCGGTCCATCCACACTCCCGGTCCATCCACACTCTCGGTCCATCCACACTGTCGGCTCTCGGTCCATCCACACTGTCGGTCCATCCACACTCTCGGTCCATCCACACTGTCGGCTCCCGGTCCATCCACACTCTCCGCTCTCTCAGTCTCGCGGCAAGTGACTGCTAGTTCAGCCACGAAGGTGCCCTTCTCTGTGAGCGCAAGGCGGCACGTAAGTTTGCCACCAGCTGGGGGTCACAGCAGGCTGCAGATGCCTGCTGCAGGAGTCAGCTCATCGGCTGCCTTCCCCAGATATGGGGGCGCTCAACCATCTGGACCCTCTCTTCCCCTTCCTTGGCTCCGGGGCTGGTCATAACCCATCCCCCGGGGATTTGTGTGTCCAGTCCAACCGGGGCGTGGTTATGCGTTTGACAGCTCTGTCCCACCTCTCCTCTTCCTGGGCCCCAGGAGAAGGGACAGGGGGAGCAGAAGAGCCAGCCCCGGTGGAAGCCCAAGTGAGGCCCCATCCTGCGCTGATCATTGAGAGTCCAGGTCTTCCCTTCCCTCTCAGAGCACGGCGCAGTCTCCCGGAGATTTCAGCCTTTTTTACTCAAGGTCCTGCTGAGCTGGAGACCGTTTGATGAGGCCGCCCTAGGGGGAGTGGGTGCCGCGGGGCCTCCTCTTTCCCCATCAGGAAAGAGGCCGCTCTCGCGTGGCTCTAGTACTGTGAGAAGGCCAGGGCTGTGCGACCTTGCCTCGATCAGAAGCTCAGGGCTGTGCGACCTTGCCTCGATGACACAGCTTCCCTGAACCTCCGTTCGCACGGCTTCCAGCGAGGAGGCGCATGTGACTGGGAGAGGGCCCCAGGAGGTGGTTGCGGGGTGGAAAGCGGCGCCCACACGTTCCCAGGGGCAGGGGCAGCGGCAGGGGCAGCCCGCCCGCCCGTCACTGCTGGCTTCATCCCTCCTGCCCGCCTCTTGATGCTCCCCCCACCCCCGAGCTGGCTTGGGTGAGCGGCCCCTCCCCCCCTCTAAAGGACCTGGCTCGAAGCAGCCGGTCCCAGCTCACACCCTCGCCCCGCAGCGGCATCCGAGTCCCCCAGTGGCATTCCTGGTCCCGGTAGTCAGAGAGCCGCCAGGTTGGCGTTCCGGGTGTGGCTGCTGCACAGGCCGTGGGGGAGGGGAGCTGCAGCTGTGGCTCTGTCTGTCCAGGCCGGGGGCACCGGCTTGCCCGGGCCAAGGACAGGAAACAGGTGGCTTTGCTGAGGCCCAGACAGGGCGGAGTGGGGAGAGGCCCACGTCTAGGTGCGGCCGGGTGACTGCTCTCCTGAACCCTGAGCTGGGAGGGCAGAGGCTCAGCCCTGAACGCCGTGTTTGGGAATGCTGTCTAGGGCAAGGTGATCCGGAGTGTCGCCCCCCCCCCGCCGCCATCCACCTCTGCTACAGCACGGGGCAAGTCACTGCGGTATGAAGATGCCAGACGCGAGGAGCTTCCAAAAAGGAACTTCAGATCAGTCAGTCCCCTGCAACAGCCTGGCTCGCTGCCTGCCTTAGTGGTGGGTGGCCCTGAATCGAGGCGTCTATGGGAATGCCATGCCCCATCTTCGGGTCTGCCAGATGTGCAAAGCAGGGCTGGCCACAGAGGTGGTGGGACACCCAGAAATCCCAGAGAGCCTCTCACCACAGACGCCGGATGCAAAACAGTGTTTAGGCTCAGCCTTATTTGCAAAGCAGGGCACTGACAGGGCCGGTTGCTGGATGTGTCCTCCAATCCGGTGAGGAAAGGGGGTGTGTGCTTTCGCTGCTAGACCATAACTCAGCACTCTGTTGCTTTGATACGGTCGGGTCGTTTTTCTTCACCTTCTTAGTTAAAACCGGTGCTCCGAGGAAGGGCTACGCAGCAGAGCCAAGCAGCCTCTGCGGCCCGTGTGTGCTCTGGTGTTTGGAGCTGGGCTGTTGTATGTCAACATTGGAGGAATGGGGATGGGGTAGAGGTGGGAAACAAATTCCATGTGTGCCAGTGGCGCGGAACTGGCTGACTGGGCTGCGCGGATACAGCTAGTTGAAAGCTGGGAAATGGGGTCCCTGCCTGGCAAGGGACTTGGGGCAACGAGCAGCTGCCACCATCAGACACTCCGCTTGCCACTGTCCTTCACCCCAACTCCTTCCTCCTCTGCCCCCTACCTACCTCAGGGCTTCCTCTCTTACCCAGCGCCTTGACAGCCTGGAGCGTGAATCTCCCTTTACGCAACCCTCCTTCCTTCCTGTGAAAGCCCTAGGCATGCCCACCCACTCCGGCCCACCAGGCTGCTTGCCTCTTATTTCTCTCTGGCATCACGCCAGCCCTCACTCTGCAGCCTCTGCTGTCATTGTGGGGATGTGTTAGCATTTCCCCCTGCATACAAGCTGTTTCTAGACCTCCCCCCCCCACATTCTGGTCCCCTTCTTTACGTGTGTCTGCGGGAAAGGTGACTGTTCATGCTGCCTCAAGCTCTCCCCGTCCCCCCTTACACCCACTCCCACGAGCCCCCTTCGTTGCTGCGGACAAGGTCACCAGAGGCCATCTTCTCGTTGATCCACTGACTCCTTCCTTCTCCAGGCTTACTTTACCTAGGGTCACACCCTCCTTTCTGGGGACACTGCTTGCTCCTCACCTGTCACTTCTCCTCAGCTTTATGCCTCACGTCAGTGACGTCAAACTTCATTGTCAGCCCCTGGACAGCTTCCCTGAATGGCAAGAGTGATGGATAATTCGATTTTTCTTTCCTTGTCTCCCATAAGAAGTCCAGTCCTTTGCATCCAGACAGCTGCTGGCTTGGGAAAGATCAAACAGAATATGCTGAAAGTCACCCCCCAAAAAAATTAGCTGGGTGGTGGCGCACACTTTTAATCCCAGCACACACCTTGAATCCCAGGCTCGGGAGGCAGAGGCAGGCGGATCTCTGTAAGATCGAGGCCAGCCAGTTTTTTTTTTTTTTTTTTTTGGTTTTTCTAGACAGGGTTTCTCTGTGGCTTTGGAGCCTGTCCTGGAACTAGCTCCTGTAGACCAGGCTGGCCTCGAACTCACAGAGATCCGCCTGCCTCTGCCTCCGGAGTGCTGGGATTAAAGGCGTGCACCGCCAACGCCCGGCCGAGGCCAGCCTGTTTTACAAAGCATGTTTTACACAGAGAAACTGTCTTGAAACACCACTTCCAAATCCCCCCAAAAAAGAATATGCGGAAACTTGAGATTGTGACCAGCCTCTCCTCCTCTTCTAGGCACCCTGCTCCCCAGTGCCTTGGGCTGGAAGTACCAGAGGCGTCCTCACTCTATTCTGTCCCCACTTCTCGTCTTCTCCGGCCCCATCAGCTGGAAACGGGTCATTTTCACCGCTGCCCGGATTCATCCCCGCTGCCCGCATTCTTGAGGTCTCTCTCATTCCCCCCTGGTCCTCTCTCTCTCATCATCCCACAGAGGGGTCCCGCTAAAACGGAAGTGGGATGGGCACCTGCTTTGCAGCCTCCAAGCGGCTCAGCTCCTGCCCCGCTCTGAGCAGAGGGAGATTCCCCGCCATCGTCGGCAAAGCCAGCATCGCCCACGCCTCTCACCTGGCTGACCTCTCTTTATCCACAACGGGTCTGCTCCCCCCACTCTCCTCCTGCTGGGAGACTTTGTACATGCTGGTCCTTCTGTGTGGAAGGCCCTGACCTGGGGGGTCATGTGACTCTTGGGTGGCCATGTGACTCCCTCACCGTCTTCAGAACTCTGCTAAAAGATTCCTTTATCACACACACGCGCATGCACACACTTAAGCACACACAAATACACACACACACACACGTACGTGCGCGCACATGCACACAAGCCTCTGCAGACGGCGAACCTCCTTTCTTGGCTTGTTTTCCTCCTCAGACTTGGGCGTTATTATGTATTTTGCATGGTCTCTTCCTCAAGCCCCTCTGTAGTGTGCAGGCTCCTGGGGGGGCAGAAATGTTTGTTCTCCCTTCTGTTTCATTATATGATATAATAAATATAACATAACCACACAATAACTTCATCAGCTAGCTGGGCGGTGGTGGCGCACGCCTTTAATCCCAGCACTCGGGAGGCAGAGGCAGGCGGATCTCTGTGAGTTTGAGGCCAGCCTGGTCTACAGAGCGAGTTCCAGGACAACCTCCAAAGCCACAGAGAAACCCTGCCTCGAGAAAAAACAAAACAAAACAACAACAACAACAAAAACCCCAATAACTTTGCCAACTATAGACCAATAACATTCCACAACGTTTTAGCGGATCTGAAAAATTGTTTTCCCCGGTGAGACTGCAACACATTCCTGAGGGACATGTGTCGGTGCTCATTTAAATTAACCCCCACCTGCCCATCATACAAAAGCGTGGTGCATACAGTAATGTCCACGGCATCATGTTCCATGATAGAAAGTGTGTTTCCGATTGACATAATTACTGCACGGTGATTTTACTGCTGTTTTAGAGCATCCTCCCAATTACAAAAAACTCTTCTGAAACAGTATGTCATCTTACGGCCAGCAGCCCGTGCATTTCACATCTGTGTGAGCCCCGCCCCCACATCCCTGGGTCTCTTCCAAAGGCCACACGGAGTGACTGGCCTGCTGAATGGACTGTTCTTTTCTGCAATCCCATTTGGTTTCACGGCAGTGTTGCTTCTTTCTTTCCCCTTTGAACGCTGGGAAATTCCCCCAAACATGAAGCCAAGAGATGAGAGCCCATGAGCAGTTTGCCGGTGCAGGCTGGGCAAGAGTGCTCAGCAGTGAAGGTTGAGCATGCATGTTTAGTCATCATGCATCGATTGAGTACTGTATGTTTAGTCATCATGCATCGATTGAGTACTGTATGTTTAGTCATCATGCATTGATTCAGTATTGTATGTCCAGTCATCATGCATTGATTGAGTATTGTATGTCCAATCATCATGCATTGAGTATTGTATGTTCAGTCACCATGCATTGATTGAGTATTGCATGTCGAATCATCATGCATTGATTGAGTATTGTATGTCCAATCATCAGGCATTGGGTATTGTATGTTCAATCATCATGCATTGAGTATTGTATGTTCATTCATCATGCATTGACTATTATATGTTCAGTCATCATGCACTGATTGAGTATTGTATGTCCAATCATCATGCATTTAGTATTGTATGTTCATTCATCATGCACTGATTGAGTATTGTATGTCCAGTCATCATGCATTGATTGAGTATTGTATGTCCAATCATCATGCATTGAGTATTGTATGTTCAGTCACCATGCACCCTCTTGTCTTGGAATTTCACTCTCCACATGTGTAAGATGGGGCCAGTGGTTATTAACCTCCTGGGCCATGGTGGCTTGATTCGTCGTGGAGCTGGTGAAGGCCCTTCACGGGCTTGTCTTTCCTAGGGCTGTGTTCATGAGGTCATCTGTCGTTTGCAAACAATACGGAAGTCGGATTGTTTTCTTGTAAAGAAAGCTCCTGCGATGACCAGTCTTGACTGTCAGCCCTACAGGATGCAGACTTATCCCGGTGCATGTCTGTGTGTGTGTCCATGAGGCTGTTTCCAGAGAAGTTTAACTGAGGAGGCACGGCCTGCCCTGAACATAGGTAACACCATCTCAGATCAGGGGTTCCAGACTAAATTAAAAAACAGAAAACAATCTGAGTGCACCCTGACCTCTCTTTATGTGCTGACTACAGACATCACCAGCCGCTTCTTGCTCTGGGTGCCCTAACTGGGAGGAGCTCTCTCGGCCAAGCCTCCCTCACCATGATGGACTGTGCACCCTCAAACTTTGAGCCAAAATAATCCCTTGCTACATTACATTGGTCAGTATTTTCTCACAGCAACAAGAAAGTAGCATTTAGGGTCTCCTACATGTCCTAAGTACCAGACCCCACCAAACCTGAGCCGGCTACTGCACGGACACCAGGGAGACTCTCAAAGCGCACCTTATCAGAAAGCAATGGTTAATCGTGAGTGACGCGAAAAGGGCTTCAAGTGGGGGTGTCATTCAAACTTGCTCTCTAGGGACACGTGAAAGGCTTTGGGAGCACAGGTGCTCCCTGGAATTTGCAGGAGAACCACTGGTGACTTGGAAGGATAAAAAGGACTACACTTGGTTAGTATTTTGAGATGCACAATTTTAAAGATGCTTCTGTATTAATTCATTAGACTTTTTTTGGAGACAAGGTTTCTCTGTGTAGCTCTGACTGTCCTGGAACTCTCTCTGCAGACCAGGCTGGCCTTGAACTCACAAAGATCCTCTGCCTCCCGAGTGCTGGGGTTAAAGGCATGTGCCACGACTGCCCAGATAATTCATTAGCTCTTAAGTGTCAGCTCGGGCTCGACAGTCTCACAAGGGCCTGGCTGGGCTCTGAATGCTATGTGACTCTGGAATTCCCCGTTCCCTATGACGGATCCTGGTTCTCTTCAAGCTCTTCTTGGAGCTCTGTTTCCCCAGAGCCCTCAGTTGTTGTCATGAGACGGCTCACAGGGTCAGGCTCTCTAAGCCCTGTCCCAGGCAGGTAGAAGCTGTTGTCACCCATGTCACAGCTCCTGCTACAGCCCAGCTTACCGAGAGTGTGTGTGTGTGGTGTGTGTGTCTAGTGTGTGGTTGTCACGTCTGCTGCGCGGCCTGTGTCCGAGAACGTGCGGAGGGTGTCGGGTATTGAAAACACAGAGACTCGTTTAACGATGTAATGAAAACTTTAAGCAGGCCCCCAAAAAAGGTTCAAGAAAACTTCCTAAGAAAGGCTCCCTCCAGAAAGCTTCTGCTCTCTCCTCTCCCCTGGCTGGTTCTGCTCTGACACCAGAGGTGGATGTGTGTGGGTTTTTGAAGGTGCGGTTAGTCTTTGGACAAGGTCGAGGTCAGGGCGGTTTCCGTGGGAAGGCCTTTCCCAGGAACTTATTGTATCGTTTTTAGTAAACATGTTTTTACTAAACATTGTCTACAGCTGCCTACTCCCAGGCCGAAGGGGAAGTGGGTCTCTGCTCAAGGTCTAGTGTTCCCATAGGGTCAGGCTCTCTAAGCCCTGTCCCAGGCAGGTAGAAGCTGTTGTCACCCATGTCACAGCTCCTGCTACAGCCCAGCTCACTGAGAGTGTGTGTGTGTGGCGTGTCTAGTGTGTGAGTGTGTAGTGTGTGTGTGTGTGTAGTGTGTGTGTGTGTGAGTGTGTGTGTGTGGCGTGTCTAGTGTGTGTGTGTGTGAGTGTGTGTGTAGTGTGTGTGTGTGTGTGAGTGTGTTGTGTGTGAGTGTGTGTGTGAGTGTGTGTGAGTGTGTGTGGTGTATGTGAGTGTGTGTGTGTGTAGTATGTGTGTGTGAGTGTGTGTGTCTAGTGTGTGTGTGTGTAGTGTGTGTGTGGCGTGTCTAGTGTGTGTGTGTGTGTAGTGTGTGTGGTGTGTGTGTGGTGTGTGTGTGTGTGTAGTGTGTGTGGTGTGTGTGTGTGAGTGTGTGTGTGTGTGGTGTGTGTGTGTGTGTGGTGTGTGTGTGGTGTGTGTGTAGTGTGTGTGTGTGTGTGTGGTGTGTGTGTGTGGTGTGTGTGTGTGTGTGGTGTGTGTGTGGTGTGTGTGTGGTGTGTGTGTGAGTGTGTGTGTGAGTGTGTGTGTGTGAGTGTGTGTGTGTGAGTGTGTGTGAGTGTGTGTGTGTGGTGTATGTGAGTGTGTGTGTGGCGTGTCTAGTGTGCGTGTGTGTGAGTGTGAGTGTGTGTGGCGTGTCTAGTGTGTGTGTGTAGTGTGTGTGTGAGTGTGTGTGTGTAGTGTGTGTGTGTAGTGTGTGTGTGTGAGTGTGTGTGTGGTGTATGTGAGTGTGTGTGTGTGAGTGTGTGTGTGTAGTGTGTGTGTGTAGTGTGTGTGTGTGGTGTGTGTGTGGTGTGTGTGTGTGTGGCGTGTCTAGTGTGTGTGTGTGTGTGTGTGTGGCGTGTCTAGTGTGTGTGTGTGTGTGTGTGTGTGTGTGGTAGCAGTTACCCAGCAAATGCAGACGAAACTCCCACAGAGACACAGGGTGTTCTTCTTTTAAATCAAGGCTGGGATGTGTAATTCGGCTGCAGGCTCCTCCTCTGGTCTCACTTCCCAGCTCCCATAACCACCCAACCTGGAGACTCTGTCCTTAGGCAGCTCAGAGCCTCGGTTGCCCCCCCCCAAGACGAGGACAAGGCCCGCAGGGACCAGGCTGAACATCCTAGGTATAACACGAAAACAGCCGGCGAGCGTCCTGTGGCCGGCTTCTCCTCCTTCCTCCCTCAGATCCGCACATCCAGGAAGGAAAACTCTGGAGATGGCCGCCCAGTCACTGCATCCTTCCAGAGTGACCACTTCTTAAGGGACTTGGGTCAACTACTTTAGGCTTTTGTTTGGGGGTGCTTTTAAGATCTTGTCCGTTGGGCAGCATTCTGGGACAAACACGTTTTACTTCATTTCTTACACTCCACCCTCTAAGGGGACCAGCTGGGGGAAGCAGAACAAAACACAGATAGAAATATGTAGGAACCCTGACTTCTGGCCAGCGTTCTGCACCAGCCTCTCGGGCCCACTTCCTGGAAGAGTCGTGTAGGGGCGGGAAGAGATCTGAGGCTCCCTGGGTCCTCTGGACTGAGATGCAGCAGCGCTGATCCTGGAGTCACACAGCACATGAGTACACAGTGCCAGGAAGGGAAACTCGGCCCAGGAGGTGCCTCAATCGCAGGTGAGGATTTCCCTGCAGACCCGATTTGCGGCTGACGATGTTTGCAGGCTGAAGTGAAGGTTCTCAATGGGCCAACGGGCTTCTGGCGGATGCAGGTCTAGCGGGTGATGCTGGAAAAAACGTGCAACTCCCCCCTTCTCTCCATCAAGACTCCCAACAGCAGGGAGCCCAGCTCCCACGCCTCCGGGTCACAGCTGCAGATATATTTGGGCCCAGAATTCACTTTAAAGCTTGCATGCTTTTGCTCACATTGAAGAACTAGGAGAATTTACATAATAATTAGTATTCCTGGCATCTTTGGATGCTGTGAAGATCCAGCGGTAGCAAGCTTGCTGCCCCGGCAGCCCAGCAGCACTGCTCATGCAGGAGACGGTGTTTACTGCAACCGTTTTTCCCAGTCTTTGGCCTCAGGCATCACCTCTGTGGCCCCTGTACGCACGGAGGCTTTGAACAGTTGCTACAGATGTCCTTAAGATCTTGGAGGCCATAGACAGAACTCGCCGGGTCCAGGATGAGGACGGCTCAGTGGGTAGAATACTTGCCTCGTAAGCATGGAGACGTGTGTTTGGGTCCCAGAGCCCACATAAAGCTAGGCATGGTAACCGGTAAGCAGTGTCTGCAATCCTAGTTAAGGCAAGAATCCCCGAGAAGTTCATGGGCCGGCCAGCCTACTGCCAGCAGCGGTGACCAAGGCAGGTGGTGAAGACTGATGTCTGAGATTGTCCTTTGACCTCCGCACATGAGCTGTAACGTCTGCGTCTGCAGACCCACACTGTGGTTATTTTGCATAAGGTAAGAAATTAGAGCCGGGCGTTGGTGGCGCACGCCTTTAATCCCAGCACTCGGGAGGCAGAGGCAGGCGGATCTCTGTGAGTTCGAGGCCAGCCTGGTCTACAAAAGCGGGTTCCAGGACAGCCTCCAAAGCCGCAGAGAAACCCTGTCTCGAAAAACCAAAAAACAACAAAAAAGAAATTAGAAGTTAGAAGGTGAAACACGAGCTCGAGCACAACACCGGGACCACAGCACCAGGACCGGTGCGACACAGCACAAGCCGTGGAGTGCATAGTTAACCATAGTTCATTATAGCGTCGGGAGAGCGAGAGGGGGAGAAAGAGAAGAATATGGAGAGGGAGGAGAGAGTGGTAAGAAGAGCGAGGTGATAAGAAGGAGAGCGTAAGTGGGAGGTGTGTCCTTCAAAGGGGTCCTTTGCACCTGTGTGCAGACTGGTTCTCACGGAACCCTGGGCTGGCCAGAGCATTGCCTGAATGCATTCTGCCAGGTAACAGGGGCGGCCAGTGTGATGCCTGAACCTTTCATTTTACTTATTATTAAAAAGAGGCGGGGTGTTGGACGTGGCAGGCGAGGGAATAAGGACAGTCCAGTTCTTAAGACTGCTTCCTGCTGACCTGGGGGGGGCGTTGGCCATCTTTGGGGGACCTGAGAAAGCTGGGGTGTTGCCATTGCCCTGGGGTTCCTGGTTGCTCCATCGCAGTCCAGGCTGTGTGGAACTCGCTGGCGCCTCTTAGACCTGGCAAGATGTTAGCCGAGTAGAGAGGACAAGGTTAAGTGTAAAAATTTTCTTTTTCCTTAGGTCCTGGTGTTTGAGGGGAAGATTGTAAGAGGAGGGAGGGGTTCCCGAAGGGTCCCATGTGTTCCTTTGTCACCTGTATTAAACAACACCATAGATTGTAACATGGTAATAACCATGCACGGTAAGGGACAGAGGGCTGGAAAGACGGCTCAGTGGATGAGGGTGCTTGCCACCAAACCTTAAGACCCAAGTTCAAACCCCAGAACACACAGGCAAGGAAAGCACAGACTCTTTTTTTTTTTAAGAATTTATTTATTATGTATACAGCACTTCATGTATGCCTGCAGGCCAGAAGAGAGCACCAGGTCTCACTACAGATGGTTGTGAGCCACCATGTGGTTGCTGGGAATTGAACTCAGGACCTCTGGAAGGGCAGCCAGTGCTCTTAACCTCTGAGCCATCTCTCCAGCCCCGAAAGCACAGACTCTTACATGTTGTCCTCTGACTTCTACTATACCCATAAATACATACATACATAAATACATAAATAAGAAAATTAGCTTTCCATATCGTAGGTTTCTTTGATAATTCTTAGTAGCTTCCTTTATGCCCTTATAAAAATGTTTTATTAGCATATTTAGCTACCCATAGTAATGGGCTTCATTATAACATTTCCATGCACACACTCACAATGTATTCCAATCATATTTTCCCCATTACTCACTGTTTATGGCCTTTTAAAAAACAACAACAAAAAAAAAAAACCCCACTTCTTAAACATGTATCTATTTATTTATTTACTTTTTTTTTCCAGACAGGGTTTCTCTGTATTGCTTTGGAGGCTGTCCTGGAACTCGCTCTTGTAGACCAGGCTGGTCTCAAACGCACAGAGATCTGCCTGCCTCTGCTGGGATTAAAGGCGTGCGCCACCACCGCCTGGCTCATGTATGCATTTATTTAGAGACGAAGTCCCACGAAGTCACCCAGGGCAGCCTCATCGTTGGTGTGCAGATGAGTGTGCCACGGACCCTCTGCTCCTCTCGCCTCCCATGGCCGAGAACAGGTGTGAGCCCAATGTCGTGCTTCGTCCCATGCTAGGCAAGCACGTCCCCAGCCCTTGTAAACCACCCACCCTCCCCCTTCCCACAGCCGCTCGCTAGTGTGTACTTCGTATTCCAAAACGCAGAAGCGGGCTCGCATCCTCTCCTGGGGTGTGAACCAAGGCACGTGTAGAACCTTTTGGAGAATTGCGCTTCCCCGTGGAGTCCCTTAGTGGTGGCTTCAGACTGGGCTCCAGGTCCAGTACTGGGTCTGCCAGGTGCCCCAGGTCACAGAGGTGACAAGGGCCTTTCAGGTGGACCCTAGCAGGAGGCTGTATCCAGTAGCCTGAGCCCAGCCTAGGGCATCCTCTCCTCCCCGTGGTAACCCCCAGTGTGAAGCTGGACTAAGCTCCTCACCCCTGGAAGGAAAGAAGCCGGGCTCAGCGCCCCATCAGGGATCTCCCGCCTCTCTCAGACTGGGTTTGCTGAATGCTGATTCATCAGCAGCTCCAGCCGGGCCTGGTGCACGCATGCCCGCCCACGACCTGGCCTCCTTCTGATTCCTCGGCTGCTTCCTCCCAGGCTCTTCCCAGGCGCCTGCCAGCCCACGCGAGCATCTCACTTGTCCTCACCGTGCCGCCTCCCCCCCCCCCCCATCCCTCTTCTGCTCTGCCAAATCCGGAAATGTGTGGTCTCCTTGCATTTCCTCCTGAAGCCGTGCAAGCGCCCACTCAGCCTCCCCCGTCCCCTCGGCGGCTTCAAACTCTCAGTGAAGTTTACTGAGCTCGTGGTCCTCAGTTGCGAAAGGTCAAGACGAGGCCATCCCAGCAGGACAGGTGGCCCTGGGTCTCCCCGCTCCTGCTCCCACCCTCCCTGCTGCCCCGCCCGGACGCCGCTGCCTCTTCCTGGAGATGGACAGGCTCCCTCTCCCGTTTCCATGACACTGCGCTTTCCCACGTCTCCTCCTCTCCTCTGGGCCCTGACAGCTCGTTTCCTCCCTGGCATCTTCTTCTCCCAGCTTCTCCCGTGGGTGTGCCTGAGGGCTGCCCTTGAAGTTCTCTTCCTTTCCGTGCGTGCCTACCGGGTCCCCTGCCTGTCCTCCATCCTCCCCCCAACCCCCGCTGCAGCTGCTCTCACACCCACATGCCAACCCCGCATCGCCAGCGTTGCCAAAAACCCTCCACCCACCCATCCTCATCAAGAATGGTGTCCTAAACCTCAGGATTGGAGACTATTGCTTTCTGCAAGGGCTCAACCTCCCCACCTCCTGAGCCCAGGCTAGCTTAGACAACAGCTCCATGAACGGCTGTGCAGCAAAGGGCTAAGAGAGAGGGAGGGGCTCTGCGAACCCGCTGCCCAAGTTCAAATCCCTGCTGCCACCCCAAGCGAGGTCATTCATCCATCTGCTCCTCCATTTGTGTGGCAAATGTTTTCCCGAGTTCTGACTCGGCGGCAGATTCTGCTGGGGGCTGTGACTAGAAATGGAAAAGCAGCGTCCACCACACGCCTGGCACGGCTCACACAACTGTCCATGCTGTGGGAGCCTGCCACAAGCCAGGGACAGCTTCCTTGAGGACGTGGCATTAAAACTCAACTCAGATCTTGTCACAAGGCATGACAGGTCGGGCTGGGCCCCTGAGGATGGCAACATCCTAATAGATAGGATCTATGGCTGTGATATCACATGTGTGTGTGAGTGTGTGTGAGTGTGTGTGTGAGTGTGTGTGTGAGTGTGTGTGTGTGTGTGTGTGTAGGGATGGGGCTAGACAGGCAGACAGGGGCCAGACTTCCCTTTTATTTCATCAAGTTCCAAGCACGTCTGGGGCTGTAGCTCAGCAGTAGAGGGTGCCTGCTTAGCATGCACAAGGGTTCAATCCCTGGCACGGGAAGCAACTTTCAAGCAACTATTTATTTATCAGTGTTTATTTCCACTATCAATCCCTCTACGCCACTGATTCCTCATCATGAGATGATGGCTTCACTGATTGTCAAGAGGTGAATGGGATGTAGCTTTTAGAAAGGGTGACTGCCATCCATTTCCTGACCAGGCTCTGCTGAGCCCTAGGAATTCTGTAAGGTTCCTTGGATTGCCGAGGAGGGAGTCACAGGACCAGAGGTGAGTTACATGCTGGTCAAAGAGGCTGAGCTAGAATGTGTCATCCCGTCCCGTCGTCCCCCCCCCGCTCTGGATCCTGTCTAACTAAAAGCTTACTTAACTACGGTGGAGCTTCAAAACCATGGCTCTAGTTGGCTTCAACTGCTTCTGGACTGGGTATGGAGGCACACGCCTGTAACCTCTATAGTGAGGAAGCCCAAGTAGGAGTTTCAAGTTAAGGAAATCCTGGGCTACATAGAGAGTTCCAGGGCAGCTGAGGCTACAGAGCAAGACTAGTCTTTAAAAAGCAAACACAAAACTACGCGGAGAAGAAACCATGGTTCCTGGAGTTAACTTTACAACACCAAATGGTTGCGGTGAGCCCTGGTCCTAGACGTTGGAGCCTCTCTCCCCTGAGCTGTAGGGGCAGCATGGAGCAGATTCTCCGTCTTGACCCCCAGTAAAGCGTGTCACATCTAACCAGCATCTTTCTTGTTTTGCGTCCGGTCTCCCTCATGGGATACCAAGGCCCACTGGGGCAGGATTCGCCACCTCTGTTTCCTGCAATGTCTGTGGGTCTGCCCCTGGGTTTAGTGCGGGGTCATAACAGAGTCACTTGGAAACATTTCCCATCTCTGGCTCTCCTCCCTCACATCCATTCATGCATTTCGTGTTTAACCGACATTCGCATAGCTGGCTATTGAGGTTCTTGCGTGTAAAATGGGAGCCAGGGATGGATGCTGGTGGGGTTGACAGTGAGGGTGAAATTGCAGTGACATGTGCAAGTCACACAGTCTCATGTCTGGAAAGGACCATAAATCAAGGAAGACTGTAGAGGTGGAAAGGTGAGGAAATGGATTCTTCCCTCAAGCTTCCAGAAGGAATATTTCCATGTTGACCTGCTTTCTGAAGTGTGAGATAACAAATCTTTGCTGCCTCGGGCCACTGGTGGTGTGGTCACTTGTTGTAGCAGCAACAGGGAGCTAATATGCCACCATCAGAAGAGCAGAAGAGCTTGGAGAGGCCAGGCGGGAGGTGGGTATCTGTGATCTAAAGAGGCTGGTGTGTGTGTGTGTGTGTGTGTGTGTGTGTGTGTGTGTGTGTGTGTGTGTGTGAATGACAAGGCTGAACAGTGGTTATCACCTCCTTGCGCTGACTCTAACCCACTGTGTTTCTGTCGCCTGTCTTCACGTAGTCTCTGCTACAAACCCGTGGACTCTAACGGATTCCATCCCTCCTTCCACCGCATCTCCCACTCATGCTCTTCCCTTAGTTCCAGAACAGCGCGCCCACCTTTCCAGACTCCAGCTCTCCCTATTCGGGTCTACTCTGTAGCCAGGCCCTGTTGGTCCTTCTGAACCTCGTGGCTCAGGTGAGTTTAGGTACCCCCTTCCTTTGGGGGTCCTCCGCGTCCTTTAGCACCCGCGCAAGCGCTCTCCCCAGTCTCCACCCACGCTCCCAGTGGCTGAACAGACCGGCCTCTTACTTCGGATGATCTGCTCCTTCTTCCTTCTGCCCGAGGCTTCCTCTCCCCTTCCCTCACCTCTGCCCACTGGCTGAGTCCCACGGACCCCATCCAGCTGTTGCCCGAGACGCTGCTGCTGCGACGAGCTTCTCTGATCATCTACTGTCTGGGTCCAGTCGCCTCTCGAGGCCGGCAGCGTCCATGCATCATGGGCTTTATCCCAACTATTTTCTTTTCTTTTCTTTTCTTTTTTTTTTTTTTTTTTTTTTTTTTTTTTGGTTTTTCGAGACAGGGTTTCTCTGTGGCTTTGGAGGCTGTCCTGGAACTCGTTCTGTAGACCAGGCTGGCCTCGAACTCACAGAGATCCGCCTGCCTCTGCCTCCCGAGTGCTGGGATTAAAGGCGTGCGCCACCAACGCCCGGCTCCAACGATTTCCTTTTCTCTCCTCACATCTCCACTTGCTTACCAGATATTTGATGGCAGAGCACATGCCCCTACCCCCAGGGAGCTGAGCACACACAGTAGGTCTTTGACACGCACTTGCTCTACTGGATTAGACTCCAGAAGCCGCAGTCCCCAGCTGCTCCATGTCGCTACGTCCTGTCCGTCTGCATCCCGTGGTGGAAACAATGTCTAAGGACTGCTGATCGCTTATCACGAGACTATTGCTCTGCTCAGGGACGTCCTGTCTGTTTGCCACGTGCAACACACACGCGCGCGCATTCTGCACCCAGTTCCAGCCATGCTGTCCCATGGTATTCCTAGGCAAAGTTTAGACACACCACAAACGTTTCCTCCGGCCTGCTCTTCTCACGCGCTTGCCGCGCTACGGGTCTGTGTTCAGATTTAGAACACACCCGGAAACAAAAGACTCCGAGAGGCTTTGATGCAGAGAGATATTTTTTTTCTAATGTTCTGTTGTGTTTTTCAAAAATTTAAAAGTCAGTCTTCTGGTGTGGATCCAAATGTTCCCTACAAGCTCTCATGCATTTCACTACTTGGTCCCCAGATGGTGGCACTGGTTTGGATGGCTGGAGCAGGAGGCGTTACTGGAGAGGAGGGCCTCTAGGGGTGGATCTATGTGGGTTATAGGCCGCCACTGCACCCGACGCAAGCTCTCTGCCTCCTCGTTGGCACCATCGGGACACCTCCTCCAGAGGCTGTCACCAAACGTGAATGCTAGCATGCCTTCTCCACCAGCACGGCTTGGAACCGTGAGCCCACGTGAGCCTTCCTCCATTAAGTTGCTTCTGTCCCGTATTCGGCCACAGAAAAGCAATGGATGCAATCATCTCGCCGATTTGTAAAGCTTTTAGTTGTGGCAGACGCTGTTAAGACGCGAAAGGAACCATGCAAGCTGTGGATGTGAGAAGGGAAAGCGGGACGACTGGAAGGTGTCTGGGGTGAACAGAAAAGCCCACAAAAGGCTATCGCCAAATAAACAAAAAAAATAGCAAAATAAAAAAATTAGAAAAAAAACCCAAAAGGCTATCACTGATGGTGTCTGCAAAAACTATCATCAAAGTAGCCAAGAATCTATCATAAAACCGAGGCCTTGGTAACAGAGCACACTCGTTTTCAGACTGTGTAGGCTACATTCCTGTCAGCGTGACAGAATTCCAGAGACCAGCACTTTAAGAGGAGGGGTGCTTTATTTAGGCTTATGGCTTCCGAGGTTTCCTCTCTTGTACCCAGTCCGTCATTTCGAGGCCTGAGATGGCACTATGGTAATGGTGGGAACATGTGACCAAAGAGGCTGCCTAACCCACAGTGACCTAGAAGAGGGGGAGCAGGGACAAAATACACCTCCCTAAGGCCCTTCCCTGGGACTAACCTCTAACAAGGCTCCACCTCCTACAGTCGCCCTCCTCCTTTTTTTTTTTTTTTCTTGTTTGTTTTGTTTTTCGAGACAGGGTTTCTCTGTATTGTTTTGGAGGCTGGCCTGGAACTCGCTCTGTAGACCAGGCTGGCCTCAAACTCACAGAGATCTGCCTGCCTCTGCCTCCCGAGTGCTGGGATTAAAGGCATGCGCAACCATCACCCGGAGCCCTCCTCCTTGAAAGAGCCGTTAGGTCATGACGCTATCAATGAACTAACTCACAGATGAGGTCAGAGGTCTCGTGATGGTGATGCAACCACTTCCCCTCTGAACACAGCCGTATTACTGACCAAGCTTTTCACACTAACCCAGTGGAGGAACATTCCACACCCATAACACAAATCCTTCACAATATCCCTACCACTCTGTCCACACCAAGACCTGCAATGAACTTTGAAGTCTACCCAACATGTTTTGTTTTGGTTTGTTTTATTTCGAGACAGGGTTTCTCTGTAGCTTTGGAGCCTGTCCTGGAACTCGCTCTGTAGACCAGGCTGGCCTCGAACTCACAGAGATCCACCTGCCTTCCTGGGTGCTGGGATTAGGGGTGTGCGCCACCACCGTGTTTAAACACACACGTTTTGGATGCGCCCAGTTGGCTACAAACAACACACATTGAATCTACAGTAGTTGGGGCACTCTTCCTCTTCATCTCCTGCTTCCCCTCTTTCTGAGTAAGTGGTAGGAGTGGGGGGTGGGGTGTAGGGGTGAGGGTGAGCTCAAAACTAGTCCTTGGAGTTCATCCCAGGTTATGTCTTCCTTCTTTCCTTTCTTTTGAATGTCTTTTTGTTGCTGCTGTTGAGACAGAGTTTCGTGCTGTAGCACAAACTGGCCTGGAACTCAGGGCAATCCTCCTGTCTTGCTGCCAAGTGCTGAGATTACAGGTCTGTAATTACATCACCATGCCAAGCTTAATGTTGTCGTTGTTTTGAACTGAAGGATCATGTCTGACATCTGGAAGGACTGACCCAGAGTTCTCCCTCCATGCCGTGTGCTGCAGGCACAGAGCGGGGTTCATGGTCAGAGTCGGCACAGCTCTCAGGAAGACTGAGTTGCCTCCTTCCTGTCCACGGAGCCCCCAGCAATAGTGGCTGACACGGGACCTGTCTCCTCTGCCCAGGACAATGGCAGGAAAGGAGGGACAACCTACTTCCTTTTCCAGTTGCTGTGACAATAACTCTGATAAAACCAGGTTGAGGGGGAAAGGCTTTATCCTGGAGCACAGGTCAAGGGGACAGTCCATAAGGGTGGGGACATCCAGGAAGGAGGGGTGCGAGGAAGCTGATTACATCACATCTTCAGCCAGGAAGCCAAGGGTGCTGAATGCTTATGGTCAGTTCACTTTCTCCTTTAAAAAATAAATTGCACACACACACACACACACACACACACACAAATGTTTGCAGAGCCTAGGAATCAAACTCCGGTCATCAGACTTGGCAGCAAGTACCTTAACGTGAGCCATTTCACGAGTCCAGTTTCTCCCTTTTGTCTAACCAATGATCCTAGCGCAGGGAATGGTGACGCTCACAGTGGGCAGGTTCTCCCATCCTAATTATCCTGGTTAGGACTTCCCTCTTCAACACTCACACACTTGAGGCTGGTCTCTCTGGGAATTCTTGATCTTATCAATTTGATATCTGGGATTAAACATCCTTGGTGGCAACCGAGGTACCAGTGCTCACTGACGGCAGCTATGAGACTGACGTGCTCCCGTCAAAGCCAAGAAGAAGGCTCAGTCGGCGATGGTACTCCGTACCAACCAGCTCAATGCCCTGCACCCACGCGGTGCAAGGAGACAACGGACTCCAGCAAGTTGTCTTGTGACCCTCATGTGTCACACCCAGGATCGTGCAATTTCCTCAACTGTGGGAGGTCACCAAAATCACCCCTGCTTTACAGGCGTGAACGCAGAGACAGAGTGAACTTAAGAAGTTCCTGAGGATTCGGTGGGTTTGCTACGCTGTGCCACAGGTGGGATGCCTTGCAGGCATGTTTAACCTGTGACTCATATATGGCCCAGGAGAGCTACGGATAGCAGCGCAAGGGAGAACTGTGAGCCTACTTAAAACACGTGTTTGCTTGTTTGTTTGTTTGTTTTGTAACTGGACTGTGCAGTCCTCACGCATAAACTTTGTAGGCGACACACACTGAGTCACAATGTTGAAGGTGGACATGCCTGGGAGAGCATCAGAGATAAGTTGCATCATGGTTCTGGAGTCTGGAAGTCCAGGAGGATGGTGTAGACAGAGGGCTTGTACCCAGGGACTGTTGGGACTCCCGGGATCTTTGTGGAGTCACCTGAGGGTCTGGGATGGAAACACAGTTGACCCTTCCTCTGTCCACTCCTGTCTCTTTTCCCTCACGTCCTCGAACATCACCCCAGCCGGGCATGGTGTCTCACACCTGTAATCCCGGCACCCAGGGGGCAGAGGCAATAGGACTACTAGAAGTCTGAGGCCAGCCTGTACTACATAACGAGGTAAGGCTAGCCCGGTATGGTGTAAGATGCCGCAGATAAAAACAACAAGCAAACAGCAAAGCAAAATACACACAACACGGTAGAGAACACAGTCCTGAAAACCCCCATGGCTCTCAGCTCCAGCCTTGCGACGGTTAGCCTGTTAGAGATGCCAGTTAACACTTGCTCCCGAAGCTGCAAAGACACGTTGGAAGGCCAAAGGCCATCTGGACCTTGAGATTTCGCTTCCTCAAGGCTGATCCTGTCTCCAAGGCTTGTCCAGACTCCCCCTGCTTGGCCTCGCCTCAGTTTACCTAGCTTCCATCCTTCTCTCTGCCTCCTCCGTACATGCTAATTGAGCACCTACTAAGTGACAAGCAGGGTTGTACTCATGGAAATCCAGCATGAAAGGACCTCCACAGGCAGGATAGCCCTCACGTTCTAACAGGAGAGCAGCCAATTACTCGGTAAGTTGTCTAAAGGAGCGTCACCTGGTGATGACCCCTGTTGGGGAGAGCCGACAAGGTTTGAGATGATGGAGGAGGTAATGTGGGGGGGGGGGATGACTCAGTGAAATGTGACATTTGGGCGAAATCAGAGGCCTGAGGGACTAAGCCACGAGGTTATGTGGTGACAGAGATTTCCAGGCACCGCAGCAGTGCCAGTGCAAATGCCAGCAGGAGGCTATTTGCTGTGGTTCAAGGAGCCCTGTGTAGGCGGAGCTGGGGAGGGTGGGGTGAGGTGGGGAGGGGCAGAGGGGGCAGGATAAGGAGCACTATCAGAGGTCACAGGAATGCTAGTGAGGGACAGGTGTGGAGAACCTTCTAGGCTACCGTAGGGACGTTTGCAGGGTCTCTGAGTCAGACAGGAGCTGTTGGAGGGCTCTGAGCACAAGAGAGACCTGACCAAACTGGACATTTTAGGTCTGTCCAGCTGCTGCGCGGAGAACTGTCAAGTGTCCCCCATACAGGGTAGGGACAGTCACAGCTACTGCCTTGACATTTGCCTTAGCTCCAGTGGGCTGTAAAAGGGTGGCTTAGCTGTGGGCTGGGGTACAATTTCAGGTTCTGGGGACACTGCCCAGGCAAGGCTAATGGGATCGGTCCCTGGTCTTTCTGCGGTAAATGGTTGGGACACACACAGCCACAGTCTGCAGGGTTTCTCAGTGTGAGAGCCCTGAGCTCTGGCCTTGGAGTCAGACAACCGGGACCACCTCCTGAGTCCGTGGTGGCAGCTGCCCGTCTTGGGCAGGTTCATAGAGTCTCCAAGTATTTGCTCCTTCGTCTGTGACTTGGGGATGTTTATTCTTTGGTTATAATCTGGGAAGAGTAAACGAGAATGTGTCAGAGGAACAGCACCAAGGCAGACGTGGGGAGGAGGGAGGGGGGGAGGGAGGGACAGAGAGTGTTCCTGCAATATCGAGTATCTTCGTCTGAGCCCTCCGGGGCCAGGCTTCCACGTGGGCATTGGGGATCCAGACTGGAGCGCTCCTGCTTGTGAAACCATCTCCCTCAGCCTACGGTTTTTTTGGTTTTTTGGTTTTACGAGACAGGGTTTCTCTGTATTGTTTTGGAGGCTGTCGGTCCAGCCTGGCCTCAAACTCACAGAGATCCGCCTGCCTCTGCCTCCCGAGTGCTGGGATGAAAGGCGTGCCCAGCTGCCTATGGTTGTTTTAAATGATGCAGATTCTTGCTGGGCAAAGAGCAGAGAGAGGATTAGAGGCAGGGTAAGGTGCTGTGACTGCACCGCCCGCCCGGGGAAAGCCAGGGCAACTCAGGGCGGAAGGAGTGGTGGGCGGGGAGAAAACACGTGCTTGCCCTCCCAGCGGGATGGGGGATTCCAAGGCGCAGGCCCACCCACTGGGCCAGGTGGCCGCTAGAGAAAAGATGGCCAGAAGGGAACTCCTTGGGTTGAGGTGGGGCCGTGGAAAACGGGAACACTCCCAAATTCTGGAGCGGGTGAGGTCATCCCAGCTGAAGGCAATCAAAAGCCCTCCTCCTTAGGCAGGCGGGGAAGGGATTGTGGAGACTTCCAGGAGCTGCCAAGGAAAAAGGGATCGCAGCCGAGCCCTTGAGCCCCGGAGGCCCCACCTTGGCAGGAGAGAGAGACTAGG